TACTTTCGAGCGTTGTTGTCACTTTGTTCGAGTGTTGTAGAAGGAAGAAAAAAAAAGGCAGTATGTGAGGCAATCTCGGACGATCAAGGATCTCTTTGCTCCATGCTCTAGGACACCCTAAGCTCATATAAAATATACAATGCTTTTCTAATATCCTTGAACTTATCCAACTGGCAAGTGATGCTCGATTGTGGGGAAGGAGGTCGTCCTTCAAATTGGCAGCTGGTGTGGCAAATGTCAACGGACTGCTAGGCAGTGGGGTTAAGCAATTTGCGATTATGTTCAAGTGTTGGGGATGCGCAACTCCACCCCTTTCCCCTACACCCTGTCTGCCCCCCATGTTAAAGTGGGGGTCAGTGAGGTCGACTGGTTAGATGTAGAGTTGTCAGATTTGTGCTGTGAATTTGCCACCACCTCTGGAGATGTTCGCAATTTCCCCCCCCTCTAAATCCATAAGGTATAGATTTGGAGTGAGTACATGGATGCGCATTGCAGAGAAGAGCACTGCTTGCTCGAAGGGATTCCCTTTCTCAGTTGAAAATAAAATGGCAAACGGGTTTGTAACGCGTGAGAATCTACAAAACAGTTTGGGGAAAATCCCAAACAGTCTAGATAGTCAATTTAGCGTGATAGTCAAAACTTTTAATGTTGTTTCAAGTTGATGAGCTTGCGTATTATTATGTAGTTGGTAAGGTGCAGTCAATAATACACTATCGAACTGAACATCACAGACACATACACTTTTTGCATGACCAATGCAGACACAAGAGCACAAACAAGGAAAGAAAAAAAAAAGTGTAAAAACAGAAAATGTGGCAAAGTTACTAGCTACACGTTGACCCAGGGTGAGGGGAGAGTGTGAGGGAGGGGGGAAGAGGGCATAACCACTCGTTCCGCACTGCATAACCGAATATCACACACACATCCACTTGTTGCATGATGAATGCATTGTACACAACCGAACATTTCATATCACAGAGTGTCTATTTTTTGCATGATCATTGCCACAAATAATTGAACATCACATACGTATTCATTTGTTGCATATCATATGGATGCATGGAACACAGTTAAACATTGCATATCAGAAACCAAACACATTTTTGCATGATCAGTATCACACATTTGAACATTCCAAACATGAGACAAAAACTAAAATGCAACTGAACATTGTAGAAATGAGAAGAAAATAAAATGTTGGACAAAACTCACAGGGTTGCGAGATGGAGGGGAAGGGGGTGTAGTCTCCCCTATTCCCCCAGAGTTGAACATCACGCTTGTTGCATGATGTATGCCCCATAGCTAATTGTGCATCACAGACATGTCAACTTTATGCATGATGAATGTTTTTTTTTTTCTTTCTCTTCCTCTCTGGTATTTTGAATTGGTTCGTGGTTTAGGCCACCCTCTCTCCCCCCCATGTTGAAGGGTGGGGTGCTCATGTCGAATGATTAGATGTATACAATTTTTGTCAAGTCGTAGATGTACTTGGGTCGGAAGAGGGAGAGAGAGAGAGAGAGAGAGAGAGAGAGAGAGAGAGAGAGAGAGGGAAAAAAAAAAAAAAAAAAAAAAAAAAAAAAAAAAAAAAAATTGCTCCATTGTAAGCCCTCCCATCAGTACGCATCGATGATCATAATTTGAATATGTTATATGGAGAGATGTAAAAAAAACATCTTGATCAGACGGGATTGTAAATTTGTCTTCTGAAGTTTGACTATGATAAGCCAGAAGGCATCTTAGATAGAAGAAGTCTTACGGTAGAAGGTAGAACAAGACACTTCGATTAATGACATAACACGGGCGTTGGCACGACAACTCCGGAGTCTGTGTGGGGGCACGTCAATATGGCAGTTTGAGGGCTCGCAAGAGGCATGGTTACGAGTTGAGAACGGGGGCACCAATAAAATTGGATTTTCATTGGAACCGTGTCAAAGTCCAAGATAAAAGTTGAAACCGCACCCATAATAAGTCCTTTGACTAGCTCCAGGTCTATGACTATTTTTAGTGGAACTGCACTTGGAACTTGTTATGGGGCCTCTTCTACGATATGGGTTAGAACTAGAGTCGGGACCATACCTGAAATTTGTCTTGCAACTGGGTCCGGTATTGGAATACCTTTTGCCAGGACCGCATCTAAAACTTGGCATGAAACTGATTCTATGATGTGGGTTGGAACTGAGGCTCAAACTATACCGCAAATCGGTTTCGGGATTGGGTCTGGAGCAAAAACAAACTCAGCCCTGTTCCACGTGGGTCGACGAACATAATCAATGTTGCAAGGGGTGCCCGGGCCATAACGCGAGGAAGCGCTGTAGGTTTCTTCAGCTGATGGGACACAGGGTCCATTTTCTAGCAGGTGACGATCCCCACCTATACAAGGGAGATGCGTTTCAAAAAAACATAAAATAAAACGCACAATCATTATCACTATATTTTTTTATTGGAATTATTTTGTCAAGCTAGAGATGCAAAACACGCACAAACCATGAGTTGTGTTACTGCCATACACCTTCGCGACCTCATGAACATGAAAGTTTGAGATTTCTGATGTGACTTCCTTCATTCCAATCAGAATACATAGATTGGAGATCGGCACGTTGAAGGTTGGTCACCAAAAAACTGATTTTTTTTGCCTGGCCAGAGAAAGTCGTGACCAAACTCCAATTAACACTGGGTATGGACAAGACCCATATTACCCATGTAACGAAAGGAATACCTTTCCTTGACCAAAACATGTTTCAAAGCATGCGGTGGCAACCTTACGGCTTGAAGAGCAAACGCTTCATGTGTGAACCAACGAAGGCGCAAAATCGCATAAGAATTTAGTTGTCTTCAAGTTTGCAGATACCGCTAAATACATAAAAAAACTTCGAATGAATGTGTTTGTAGCTCGATTAGATAGAGCACCAAACTACGGATTTGCGGGGTTAAAAGTTCAAGTATTTTCAATTATGGGCCTATAACTCGGTTGGGGCAAATGTTTGAGTCACCGTAGGAACTGCTCATTTGTAGAATCAATATGTAAAATAAATGAAACGTTGTAGAAGTCCATAATGAGACAGACACGATTTGTGGATTTTTATTTGTTTTGTTTTCACTTTATTGATTTGTTATTGTTTTTATATACATATATATATATATATATATTTTATTAGCTAAACCTTTTTTTTTTTTTCTACGCATAGAAAAACCATCATTTAACTTAAGCCTTGAAAACATATATGCAAATTCCCCTAAGCTTCGCTTTTTTTTTTTTTTTTTTAGTTATCAAATTTTGTGTCACCGCTTTAATCATGATTGATGCGGTGAAATAATATCAGGTTAGTTCAACCATTAGTTTCCTAATGGCATCGAACTATATCTCCAACCATAGAGATAAAACCGTTGCTGGGCATATAGCCTATAAGGATCCTACTCGTTGCAAGTCATTTCGTCCCACGTGTATATGTTGTTTGTGAGACCATTCTGCAGCTGTCCATGTGGAAACCCGTTTCATAGTGAAGATTTAGAGCACCTCGTCATCAAATTATACATAATTGTAAAGGTTGTCTAACTTGCCAACTGCCCAATGAACCGTAGGTGGAGAGGGAGAGAAGGACAACAAACAATGATAATCGTGAACTCTCTCATAGCAGAGAGCTGTGATGATTAGAATACACACGACGCACTCATTCTGCGCAGTGAGCCCCAATGAACTTTCGCCTACCTTTTGACGAAATGAGTCTGTTTGCTGCAATTTGAGGTTTTTTTGCTTAGGAGGGCTCCTTCGTTAATTTTGAAAGATATACCGATGAATTTTACAATTAGTTACCTAATTATTTTTCCTGCAACTAGCGATTTGCCTTTGGTCATTTGTCAAAATTGTTGTGGAAAAGGGGGTTCCTTTTTATCATGGTTCCCTTCAACCGTCCAAAGCATTTTTTTTCACAATTTCTTCTTAAGCTGTTCTCATAACAACATCCATGATTATGCACAATCTTCACCGTAATTGCATTTCCCACTCTACCGTGTACTGACCCTTATTTAGGCCGGAAACACTAACAGTAATGCTATAGTTTTTAACACCATGTTGCACAAATTGTTAATGTGCTTGAAAGCAATTTAACTTCATAAATAAAAAATAACATTATAACTAGTTACTAAAAGAATTGAAATTATCGACATGCCTCAAACCTGAATGTAGAGGGCATTTTTGTAAGAATCACACAACATTTCATTATACTTCCTGCTGGATAGCGCAAGGTTTCCGAATACATAACTGCCATTAGGCCTTTTTCCCTGTGTTTTTTTTTTTATTCTGTCTCTTAGACACACATATATCTGCATGGTGTTAAAAAAAAAAAAGAGAGAGAGAGAGAGAGAGAGAGAGAGAGAGAGAGAGAGAGAGAGAGAGAGAGAGAGAAGGAGGCCGGGGGGTGAGGGGGGAGAAGGGAGGAGAAGAGTGGAGGCATGGAGGTGGCAGTTCAAATTCAGAATTTGAAAAGCCTCCCCGCATCCGCCAGTGCAGGAGAACAGGGCAAAACTGGGGTATATAGCCTTAAAAAAAAATAAACAAATGAACAGGGCAAAACTGGGGTATAATCCGTCCTTCTAATGGGCCCTGCGTACCTCTACAAGATTGAGAGGTTCCTTGGTTATAGCAAAAATCGAATCATTTGAAATGGCTCAAGGACAATCATTTCATCCCGCCCTAAATGAAGATTAGAACACTTGAATCGTGATGCTTTCATCAACAGTTACAATGGTCTATATTGACTGTTGCATGTAGCTTTCTTTCTTTTCTTTTTTTTATAATAATTATTATTATTATATTTTTTGGATGTAGCTTTCAGCCACGGTCCCGGTATCTCTTCCCTGCTTGAGGGGTGGGCGCAAGCTGGTCCTTGGGCCCGGAGCTGCCACAGCAGGCGGCTGGGCCCGCTGGGCACCGAAAGTACCGACAGGAAAACGACAAATGAATATAGGGGCGACGGCACGTGGAACACCGAAGCCATGTGACATCTGGGAATCCGACCTGGATCATGCATCGGGGCAGGTAGCACGTCGTTAGGCCACGTGGCAGAGTTCGTGTGACGCCACGTGCCTCCCATTAATAGGGGTAGCGAGACGAGGGCGATGGCTTTTCTTGCCGCCAATTCGGCAGCCCAAATCGCGTCCAGGTTCTCCGTCGATATCTCTCAATCTGTGGCGCGCAGCTGTGGGAGCAGCTACCAATGGCGGGAAAGCTGCCTATGGCGGGAAGATCTTGTCCAGAAGGGAAATCGTCGGGTGAGAGATTGCCACGTCAGCGATCGCGTCCGGTGGTCCCAATCCCGACGCCTGGCGGCTCCACAAGAGAGCGGATTCCAACCCTTGGCGTCGGCAAGAGGCGCAAACAAGGCGGGGCCCGATAGCACGGCGGGGTGGCTCTCTTGGCGCCATCCGGCGCGGCACCGCCGCCGATGGATTTCGGCGGGCGACACGTGGATCGTTGCGCGCGCGCGCGGCTGTCCTTCGTTGCCAAATCCGCACTCAATCTCAATCTTTCGAGAAAATCTCGCCGCCGCCAAAGGCCGCCGCCATCGCCACCGAGGTCTCGGGCATGAAGGTCTCCGTCTTCCTCTTCGGGAAGATGAAGGCAAGGGCGGCGTCAGGCGAACACGAACGGGATGGATACAGTCGGGATACAGACGTGTGACGGTATCGGCGATTGGATTCCAGCCGGATGCTCGCGTTGGGTGCGTAGTCTGACGCCAAAGGCGCTGGGGAGAGTGGGGGAGGGGCGCGCAAAGAAGGAAGAAAATGTTGGGAAAAAAAAAAGAAAAAAAAAGGTGTGTTCACATTGTAAGAAGTTGAGGGACTACGGGTAGGAAAAGAAAAAAAGAAATTGTGGGATTGAGGAATGGAAGTAATTACTAGGACAAAAAAAAAAAAAAAGAAAAAAAAAAGAAAGAAAAAAAGAAGTAATTACTAGTAATAAAGTAAAATACTTACAATAAAAGGAAAACAACGGAAGGTTCAATATGTTCCTTGCGGTGAAGGACGCTTTTCTCTTGGCTTTTTTTTGGTATTCCTTTTCGAGGACAAATAATTTCGCTTTCCGTAATTGTAATACAGTGAATACAGTTAAAAAACAAAAAAAAAAACAAAAAAAAAAAAAACAAAAAAAACAAACAAACAGTGGCCTTAGACTCTGCTTCTCGTACACGCATCAACACACTATTTACATTTCTTCTCCGCATGTACAACTCTCAGTTTGAAACTTCATCGTAATTTCCCCTCAGGGGGCGTTTCGGCTAATCAGGCCGCGCTCCTGGCACTCACTCCTCAGGGGGCTTCTCCCAGATCCACCTTGTGGGGACCACCACCAGACTGTCCGACCAAGCAACAGAGAATAGAGGGGCCGACGGCCTTGCCCTCCCGTTATACCTTTCAACTAGCTACCGGCGTAGTCCAACACGCGTCCTCCTACCTTCTTCCCCCGAATATAACGTACGGTCATTATAGCTGTATTTGAGGCATTTTTCAGTCTAGATACAGCTATCATGACCGTACGTTGTATGGGGGGGGAAGAAGGTAGTCCGCTGCGTCCGTAATTGTAAGAAGATAACGAGTTAGAAAAAAAACGAAAAAACAAAAAAAACAAAAAAACGGTAACGAGTCCTTCGCGACATCCGTTAAAATTGGAACGATACAGAGAACCTAGACAAGATTAGCATGGCCCCTGCGCTTTCAAGGATGACACGCATAAATCGAGAAATGGTCCAA